GAATCTAATAAATGTACCTAGTAAAATTAAACTGTACGTGAGTTTATATTTCTTTACAAATTTCCTAAACATACCTAATATGTGTGTAACGGAATTATTCTTAAAACTTTGTCCTTTTCTGATTTTAAAAACAGCAAAACCAACCAGATTTCCTCTCTAGAAAGAATACAGACCACTTTGGGAAACTGAGCGGTGAGCATTTTGGAGACCTTGATGAAATGGCACTGAGACTAGTCTTACCATGTTGAATTTTCACAGCTATGCATATAAAAATAAAGAATCTTAGTTTACAGAGATTTCTCTTTGGTAGGGTGTTAAGGATTCTATGAATAGGAGCTCTGTAAGTGTCCAGAAATAGCCAACTGTTGTTCCTTCTCTGGGGGCATCTGGACCTACTTGGAGGCAGGGAAGAAGCTAGCATTCCTAAGGGTTCAGGAGCAAGGAGTGGGGATAAGACCAAAAGTTTAGGAGACAGGCAAGACCCCCACAAAATAAATACTGCAGTGACTCCTAACCATCTTGTGGTCTCTAACCTGCACGGTGTCCTATTCTGAATACCCACTGACACAACCTTTTTCTCAGTCTTGTACCACAAAGATACATTCTTTACAATTCCACTTAGACCCTTCTGCTCAAAATCTCTTTACATTCAACTGGACCAATCCTTGTTCTAATTTGACACAGCAGCTGACATGGACAGTTTTGCCACAGGAACTTGATAATAGTCCCCATCTCTTTGGACAAGCATGCCAAAGAGACTTTTTTTTCCCATTAATTTTGAGAAACAAATAGCAATGACACAGTTTCAAAACCAATTAGTAGGACAGTTTCAACAATTAATACATTGAATATTGTTGTCTTCATAGTGGTTATTCATAGTACAAGATGCAGACATGATATCCTTTCCAAACACTATTAGTACAAATCTTTCTTCTCATTGAATTAGGAGAAAGTAGCTGTTTATCTATCCTAAGTATTTTGTATATACAGATACAAAATG